GGGGGTTCATCATGCACCAAGCATGTCTTACAAGCACAACTAGCTCAGAGGAGCAAAAACAACTTTAGTTAAAAATCATAGGGTCGTATCTGCTGCTTTTTAAGGAGCCCGCTAGAGGAACAAAACAGTGTTCAAAATAATGATGCTTTATTGAAGTAAAAGAAAACACCCACAGCACACAGTGACCCAGGGGATAAGCATTCATGACCTGTGTGAAACTAAATATAATTTATGTGTTTATAAAAAGAGCCAATGACCTTACCTTTATAGCTCAAGTTAAATGAATGACTGTACTTATTTCAACCTTAATCATGATCTCTTTTCTAACAATAACAGGGGATTAGATTGCTGCCTAAAAAGGCTAGAGGTGATAGCTGTGTGACACGGTATACATTGGTAATATATCGGAATGTAGTGCAGCTTTAAATATAAGACATGTATCATTTTCGTTCTGTTTAGGATGTTTTTGTTTCAGACTAACATTAGTTTGCAATCATGTCTATGCAGTTTGAATATCAAAAAGCAGGCTCTTAAAAAAAACACATTTGTCTGCAAATGTTATTGTTGCTGCTGCATGATGATGCATGTTAAGTGCAGACTAAATCCAAAAAGCATAATTGAGCTTCCCTAAAAAACAACTTCACTTTGACAATAACAAATCTATGACAACTTGATGTTCATTGAACAACATAAATCAAACAAGTGGCACAAATCTGCTTCTTGATTTTTGTACTAACAGAAAATAATGGAAAAGATAATATGCCTAGAATGCAGAGAAACGCTACCAATCAAATGTGAAAAAAACAGTGGGATAGTTTTTTCAAATGGTTAGCTGTAATGTAAAGTGTAAATGATTGGTGGCAAAAATCATACATAATCCCTGCTATTGTCATTTTAAATTAAACTGTTATCAGCAACATTTAAATAAATAAGCAAAATGCAATGCTCATTATGCAGAGTATATATGTATTATATTATAAGTATACAATTATATATAGCTTTATATCGCTGGATATATACAGTATGTTTTTAGAGTGACAGCGGCATCATAAATGGGACAAAAAGGCAGGTGGTGGCTGGCTGGATTGAAGGTAGCAGTACTAAACAATGGAAAGGGACGATGTTGAGCATGTTCGAATGTGTCCAATCCATTGACAGGCTTCCTGCATTATACAGGGTACAAGAAACGTGGCCTATGGCTCTGACGATTTCCCACTAGGCGAAGCTCTGGAGACGAGCATTGTGCGGGGTAAAACTCACATGGCAGTTCGAAGCCTGCCGATGACAGAACTTCAGAAAAGGGAGCGGGGGAAAGTGACAGCAGAAGGTACCGCGTTCACTGGGTCTCAGACACAGAGGGGAAAAGGTGGAGGAAGGCAAGCTGAAGAAAAAAGTATTTGAATAGATGATGGCAGGAAACAAAAACAATATGTTGCTTCTTTTATGTGCTGCGAATGAGCCCCAGAGGAAGACACTGTAAATCACTAGGCTCCATGCATGTAACACCTACTGTATGATAACTCCAATGAAAACAGGGGAAGCTGGATTTTCCCTCTTTCCCAACATCTCTATCTTTCAAAACATTTTCCGCATCAGTCCACAAGCTATCACCCCAAGACGGATGACCGCGCGGCAGCATCTGACAAACACATGAGCCGAAACCAAATGAGTGCATCCCTCTTTTTTCTGCTTGATAAATAGAAGACCTTTAAATGAAACCGAGTACATTTGCTTATCAGGCGTAACCTCTGTGTCATTCCGGGGTTTGCGTTCGAACGTCAGTCATTTAATAAATGTACATCCAAAGGCGAAGCTACAATATGTTATCCCTGCGGAGCTGGAGAGAGGCTGTCACATGCGATATGACAGGAACACCGTCAGCGAGTGAAAGCCTGGAGGTGAGCCAGTTCAACATAAACGCTGGACTTGTGCTCTTTTGTCTGATGTATCAGACAGAATGGTGGTGCATTCAAGTCATTACATTAAGAATGAACAAAAATGGAATTCTCAGTTAATTGCAGATTTGCATCTCTCTTCTTGGCTTGAATTTCTTTTATCCCAACATTGATGAAATAGTCATTATAATATAAGAATTGTACTTGCTGGTGCGCAGAATTAAATATTTTCATGAATGAAAGAGTCTGAAAGCCAGCAGAGCATTGAAGGACACTGTGTACAGCGAGCATATCTAATATTTGAAATTGCTCTGGCTTATTTTTTTCCAAATTCATGTTGGAGACGCAAACATTTCTCAGATTTTCAGCTCTCTGCTGTGTTTGAAACAAAACCATTGTAACACTTCCTTTAACTAACTGCCCATTTTTACCGTTTTAACCTTTCCATTCAAGAAATCCTATACTTTAGGTCTCTTGGTATTATGTTGTTCTCGTCTTAATGAATGCTGCTGATCACATTGTCAAATGAGAAGGATTCCACTATCATGGACCCCCTTCATCTAAAGATGGCATCCCAGTGAGAATATAAATGTAAAGAGGTTCAGAAGCCAGCTCTTCAGATACAAGAGCTGTAAGAACAAAAAGCAATTTAAATAACCTAACAACATACATTGTAAAGATAAAAGATAAGAGCAAAATCACATACAGGCTAATGCAAATGTGAATTAGGCTGAAAGCCAGAAGGGCACTGAGGGACCTCTTGAGTAATATTGTCATTATGTATTGTTTGCGGGATGAGCTGGAAGGATAATGTAGCTTTGGTGGAATCTTTAAAAAAATTAAATCAGATTAACCTGATTGTCTATTGAAAAAAATGTACGACTGGAGGATTATTTTATCCACGATGATAACAGGTTGTTTTGGCCCTTAAATTGGCAGATATAAATATTTGGGAAAATTAAAAGCTATTTTCTACATTACACACAAATTACACTGTTATTATACCAATATTACACATTATTACACCACTATTTCATAACCTTGTTACACCATTAATTCAACCATATTACACCCATATTATATCCATGTTACAACGTTGTAACACACATAAGAGACTGTTATTAGACACATGTTAAACCAATGTAACACAAATATTACATCGTTATTACACTGTTATTGTATCC